GAAGGCAAGGAGCCAGGAGGGGGCTCTGTAAGCCCCGCTGGGCAGGAGGCAGGAGAAGTGGGAAGCCTGGGGCAGGTTTCTCAGCCTGCACTCCTGGCATTGGGGCTGGATCACGCGTTAGAGTGGGCGCTGCCCTGTGCGTTGTGGGATGTTTAACAGCATCCCTGGCCTCCAGCCTCTAAGCCAGGAGTAGCATCCCTCCAGCTGCGACCACTGGCATTGTCTACAGGTATTGCCCAGCGTCCCATGGGGCGCAAAATCGACCCCCCCCCTTTAGGCCCAGTGGTCTAGGGGCAGAGACAGCTGATGTGGCATTTGTGGGTCTCGAAGGATAGCCCTGGTTTCTCTTTCAGTTTCCACGGCTGATTTTGTGGCCTCTCACGTTCCGGGTTTGGGCTTGTGTCTAACAAATGCTTACTTTGGTGTTTGCCCTGGGAAAGCTGAGAGAGTTTCCCCAGAGGGGTGTGTCATCCCCCCCACCCCACCCCCACTAGCCCACCTGGTCCAGGATAGAGACCCCCGGAGCCTCGGAGAGCTTCCTCTGCAGCAGGGGATGTGGGTGGACGGCATCGGGCTTCACGTAGGGGGTGTAGCCGGAGAGCAGGTAGGACAGGCAGATGCCAGAGGGACCATTGCCTGGGGAGAGAGGGATGGAAGGTCACTGCTGCCTCGGGCTTTCGTCTCGATCTGCCTTGTTCACCGAATCACCCTTCATTCATAAAAATAACACATTTATTAAGCCCTTAGCATGTGCCAGGCACCGTGCACACTGACAGTAACAAGTAATAGCAATTGTTGAGAGCCTACTAGGTGCCGATAGTAGTGCTGTTAGGAGCAGTGCTACTTAAGCAACAATAAAGTTGTAATAGCCACTGACATTTATTCAGTGCTTACTGTGTGCCCAGCTTTGTGTTAAGGGATTTTAATAATAAAATATGATAAACTGACAGATGCTGCTGCTGCTGTACCAAGTCCCTGAAGTGCCTGCATTATTCCACTGAGCTCTCCCAATGATTTCAGCGAGGTACATGCTACTCTTTTCCTCCTTTTATACTGAAGGAAGCTGGGGCCCAGAGATGTTAATTAACTTGCCTGTGGCCACACAGCAACACCACCCAGAGTCTGAGATAACTAAGAACTAGTTCTGTCTGGTTGGTCAGAAGACAAGTGAGTCATTATAGTGCTGACTGCTGCATGCTCAGGGCATGGGGGGTGAGCCTCAGGGGCCTTGGATGCCCAGGAAGGGAGCTAAGCCACCGTGGGCCTCCTGCCCCCAAGTCGGAATGAATCTCACAGCTTATCTGTGGAATTTCTTGGGCAATTACCTCAAGACATTGCTTCTATTCTTATCTTCCCCTCCTTCTTTATCTTGCACTATGCAGAATAGTGCCCAGATGTAGAACACTATGAAAGGACAAACCGCATGGAATTGCTGATGCTCAACTGCTTCGACTTACAAAAAGGAACACATTTCATGGAGTTTCAACCTGACGTTTGCATGGCGGAGGGGCCGCCTGTCCTCTGTGTTTGCAGACCTGAGGACAGGACTACACGCTTCGGCTGTGCCCCCCCTCACTCAGCACCCAGCCTGGTGCCAGGTATGGGAGAGCACAGGACAACACAGACTGAGGACCAAGCCCCCACCCCTCGCTGCCCTTGCCTTGCAGGGTCTTAGGAGGATTACATGGAATGATACCGCATAAGTTGTAAGCATAGCCCAGCGGGTGTGGCTCAGTGGTTGAGCGTCGACCTGTGAACCAGGAGATCATAGTTCAATTCCCCGTCAGGGCACATGCTTAGGTTGTGGGCTCAGTCCCCAGTGTGGGGCGTGCAGGAGGCAGCTTATCAATGATTCTCTCTCATTGTTGATATATCTCTCTCCCTTTCCCTTTCCCTTTCTCTCTGAAATCAATAAAGGTATATATATATATACCTAAATTGTAAGCATAGCACTGGGCACAGAGTGAATGCTGAGTGGTGAATTTTAAAGACAACAAAAAATGAATGAATGAATAAGTAAATAAAGGCCTGGGCTGGCCCTGCCTGCCTCCTGACCACTGATACTGGAGGCCCCTGGAAAGCTCAGGGCAGCCCCTCCCCTGTCCAGGGCAACACTCACCAATAATGATGACCTTGAGGGGCTCTGAGCTGCTGGCACCCAGGTGGTCCTTCCTCCAGTTGCTCATGGCTGCAGCTGGCGGGGGGCTTGGCGCTGGCAGCTGACCTGGAGGCACAGGGAAGGAGGGGCCACTGGGTGAGCGTTGGGTGTCATGTGGTCCCTTCCCACCTGTAGTACAGGGGTCCTCCTGTGGCCCTCAGGGGCGGGTCCAAGTCCTCCCAGAGGATATAAAATTGCCAGCCTCTCTCCCGTTTTGCTCCCTCACACCTGCTCCATTCCAGCCAGGTCCTTGCCCTCCCGCAGTTCTTCAGGGTCACCTCTGCCTCTCTGAGCCTCAGTCCACTCCCCCATATCACCAATGGGGCCGTAACAATACCCGATGCCTATTATTATTCACCTTCCTTGAGGCCCCCTCTGCCCAGCCTGAGGGCCAGCTGCGCACAGCACTTCCGTGCTGGCCATAGCGCCAGCCTGCAAGCCAGCTGCAGGTCTTGGTGTAGGCTGGTGGACTTTGGAGCCATCACCTGGCCCTAGCAAGTCACTTCCTAGCTGGTGACCATGGCACGTTTCTGGACTTCCCTGGGTCTGCTTCCTCATCAATAAAATGGGCTGTTGGGGACAC